GCCCCGCACCAAAAAATCAGTTATTTCCTCAAAAACTCCCGTTTATTCACGTCCAAGCACACAAATTTGTTAAATAATTCTAATCATAGTATTTCCTTGTATTTGCGGAGTTATGTTGCATGTAATCTCAAAACTATTTTACCAATGATCAGCTCAAATCCTGCGTTGTTGAGATGCCTATGCTGTTGAGTATAGAAAGAGGGAATATTTCAACCAAGGAGGTTACTTTCTTGCTTCAATAGAACCTGTATTAATATCGTTAGAATTGTTCATCAAATTTGTGTACCTGCCATACCTGTGGTAGGGTGTAAAATGGTAGACTAACAAAACATAAAGGCAGGAGGGGGGCGAGTTCAACGGAGGCGGGGCGAAATCTCTAGCGATCTCATCCCCACTGAATGGCGAAATCGCTGTGATACCGGCTCCCAATCGTGGCTGGCTATTGGTCATGGTACGACAATAGGGAACCGGTCGTAACTACGGGGGATGACACCCAGGTTACTCTGATCTGCCTTCACGGTTGTATTTTAGGCTGATGTTAGTCACTTATTACATACAGGATTGAGCGACGTAAACAGGAAGGCCCTCAGGGGAAACAGCGTACAGCTATGACCATCGTCACCGTTTGCCTGGCGCTTCTGATTCTGGTCTGGCCCCTGTTCTGGCTCGACGACCTGCCAGGCATCAGCTTGAAGCCGGTCAGCAAGAACGGAAATGGCCAAACTACATCAACATCTGATTCATCAAACGTCTTTAACAAGTACGGACCCACCATCACCGTCCTGGGAGAGACCATCTTTGGTCTCGCGCTGATGTTCACTGTCTGCTGGCTCCGCCAGGAGGCGCTGTTCCGGCGGCTGCGGGAGGACCTGCTGGCCGACCTGGACCTCCTCATGCAGCCCGCCAAGAAGATTGTCAAGAAGAGGGTGGCCCAAGTTTGAAATTTCCCGCGGCATCCAATGCGAATTCGGGGCAGCAAAACTGGAACTATTCTGAATAAGGCAATCTTTGTGATATTCACACATACTGCTTCGCATTGGCACATTTGAGTCAGTACTCATTTTCATAGATTGGGCTTTTAAAACTGCAGAAACAAGGCCCAAGATGAGTCCTTTATTTTATGGGTGGTACCCTAAAAATCAGCCCAGGGCCCTTCCAGTATCCATTTACCGTCAAAAATTTGGGAATTTTTGCTCCACTAGGGTCAATATACATTTGGATAGTGTGGTTTTAACTCAGTAGGTAGATAAATGGCTAGAATATTGGCTTTGAAAAAAACGGGTTTCCATGCCCTAAAAACTGCACTGGATGCCTTTAACTCATACAATTCAATTTCAGGGCGGTAAAAAAATGAAGAAATATGTTTAAATATTAACATCTACTGCCATTTCTTGGAACATTTTTGTCACAATTTCATGCCTAGTAATAATATACATGTAACTGTTTTTGGCTGTAAATGAGCAGTGGATTACCTCTAAACTATAATATTGAATTGACAGACCAAATCAGTCTATGTCTCTGTAGAGTTCTGTCTATCGTATGTTGCCCCCTGACGAAATGGGCAAAGAAGTCTGGTGCCATGTCGGAACGTGGATGGCAGATAAATATGAAGAGGGGAGACAAGACATGGCTCTGATGTATTGTTTCGCTTTTACTTTGATGCAGTGATGCATTTCATTCCTTTTATGATTATGTGATGTTCATTTAATCAATACCATTTGTAGAATGATTAAAAACTTTTTAAGTTTAAAATATATGTTGTAATAGTTGACAGTAAGCATAGCACAATGTAGGTATCATTTCTTGTTTAACAAAGTTTATGATGTCGAAATTTGAGAATGTAGGAACCTTGTTTTTTGGCCTGCCTTATTTTTTCGCGCTATCGCATTAGATTTCGAGTCTGCGGAGGATGTCATCTCTAAATTTACTTCCTGTTGCTTAAGTATGGACGTCTCCTTGGCACTGAACTCACCATCAGTTCCATGTATTGTAGTCGTTTTGTTTGACACAACAGAACACATGTGGAAAAGTGATGGATAGATATGTTTTAGTACATATATACAGTGTATAGTATATAGAAGCCTGTATATCTTTACCAGTTATTTCATCAACACTTTTTATCACTAACTGGTAAGGCTTGGAAATGTTTATATCTCGACAAGAGAACATATGTCACGTCTTGTCTGAGGTTCAAGAAACCTGAAGTATGGTCCTGTCCTGATCCTGAGAACAGGGTGCAAATCGGTCAATAGAGGCCGCTGCTGCACAATGCTGCTCACGGCATGGCATGGAGGAAAGCTTAAATTAAATGTGCTCATTTCTTCTGGAATAAGCGTCCCCGGTTTTGTTATTGTTATGACGTTCTAATCGGAATTCCAAAATATTTCTAAATGTTTGTAACAATACCGCTATTTTTAACCGGTCATCGGGCTAGGAAGGAAGCACTTCACACACCCCTTACAAAATACAAGGTGCTTTATTTTCAATTGAGATCACGCAGACCTTAGCAAGGCATTGAGGTTCAAGCACGTTTACCACATGCAGAGACAAGCTGAAGCCTTGCGCACCAAAGTAGCTACCACCCTGAAAGTCTCCAAACCCCCTGCTAGTAACATCACACGGGAAGAAAATTATGCACTGCTCTGAAAGATTACACCAATCAAGACATATTGGCTTTTTGGCAAATCGTTCCTTTGATCTCAGTTTCAGCAATAATTTAAAAGACGAAAAAATGTTGTTGTCTTAATCATTATTGTCGGTCATTGTCTTTTTATCTAATGATATTGTCTGATTTCTCCAATGCAAATCAGCACATGAAACAATGTATATTCAATTGTTTCATAATCAAGTAAAACTTACCGGACCGGTTTTATCCACCCACTCAGTATATCAACGCGTCCCTGACTGCTCTGTTTCTGTCAGTACTGACTGTAGAGTTGTGAGGATCTGTGTCGTCGTGAAAAAATCGTGCAGTACTTTGGAGCTCCTGTGCATCTTCAAGTTGGTAAGTGTCGAATTTTCAGTACTAGTATTTTCTTGACTACCATGTGGCATCTATCTGTAGGCTCCATTTTAAATCTGTGGGTGAATGACTTTATTTGTTCCTTCATTTAGACTATTACGTTTTTATTACTACTGTTTCTGCTAAACTGGTCTTTTGAATCATTAGCATGCCAAGCCATGCATTTTAAGTTGATGCGTCAGTATGAAACCAGAATCAGAAGATGTTGTTAACTTGTAAGTTGATGGTGTTGTAGCTAGGTACTAGAAGGTTTGATTGTTTGTAGGTTTTCATGTTTCCTATGTTAGCTCTTGTTCGTATTTTATCCCTCAAATATAATTATCTGTGCAAAATCGGAGCACCCTTAGGTACCCATTTGTTCGCTAATCAAAATCAAATCTCTGATGTTGAATTTTATATTATTCCTGTAGGTGTGATCAACATGTCGACAGCTGAATTCCACATGAAAAAAGAGGAGGGAACTGGCGCGGAGGGCAGGATTATATGCGCATCCACAAGTGTGGCGAGTGTGGCAAGGAGTTCTGTTACCTGAGTCGCCTGAAGCGACACATGCGGACTCACACAGGGGAGAAACCTTACCGGTGTGAGAAATGTGACAAAACCTTCAGCCATCTTTTGAGTCTAACGGCTCACATGCGGACTCACACCGGTGAGAAACCGTACAAGTGTGAGGAGTGCAGCCGGTCGTTCAGTGAGCTGGGTAGTCTGAACAGACACATGCGGACACTGGTGAGAAACCCTACAGATGTGAAGAGTGTGGCGGACAGTTCAGTCAGCTGGGTAGTCTGAGGACACACATGCGGACTCACACGGGTGAGAAACCGTACAGGTGTGAAGAGTGCAGTAAACAGTTCACTGACGTGCGTAATATGAGGAGACACATGCGGACTCACACGGGTGAGAAACCGTACACGTGTGAGGAGTGCAGCCGCCCGTTCAGTGCACTGTCAGATCTAAAGAGACACATACGGACTCACACCGGTGAGAAACCGTACAGATGTGGAGAGTGTGGCAGCCAGTTCACCAGACGAAGCCATTTAATGAAACATGTGCAGGCTCACAGAGTCTAAAGAAACCGTACATGTCGTAAAAATGCAACAAGAAACTTTCGTCAGAGTGCCAACTCACACCAGAGAAAGCCAACCTATGTCTGTAAAGGTTACTGTTTGATCTCATTGTGTTATTCTTTTGCCAACGAAACAGTTTTTTTTTTATCAGTAGTGTAGTGAACGACCCCTCTGTAAAGTTAAAAATAGCTGTGATTTTATATGACGGTCGATGTATGCTCCGTAGCCTGTTGATTAAATCTAGAAGCCGTGTGTAAAACCAGCAGTGTAGTATTGAGACAATAGTTACATGGTAGGCCACGTTTTGTTTTACTTCAAGGTGTCATTATCTGTCTGTTAGACAACTTAGTCAACTACATTTTGTATGGAAATCAGAATGGTAAATGACTGGGCCAGGTCGATAGACGACCCTGACATCTCCTGCACAGCAGTCGTCTTTCTCGATGTAAGACGGGCCTTCGATACAGTCTGGCACCAGGGGTTGACATACAAGCTGACCCGCTACGGTGTGGGAGGGCCCCTACTGCACTGGTTCGACAGCTACTTGACAGGAAGACAACAAAGAGTCGTTATAAACGGTATCACCTCATCCTGGGGGAAAACAGCAGCAGGTGTCCCCCAAGGCAGCATACTCGGACCTCTGTTATTTCTCGTGTACTTAAACGATCTGATGAGTCTCCCGTGTAGGTCAGCGTTAAATTGCTTTGCTGATGACACATCTTTGTATAATTCAGCTAAGACATCTCAGGAAGTGGCAGTTTCAATCAATGCTGATTTACAACTGGTGTCAACTTGGTTTTCGGATTGGGGCCTTACACTCCACCCTGATAAGTGTAAGGTGGTCTGCGTCAAATCTGGCCGAAAAAACGCCCTGCTGCCGCCTATCTACTTACATGGGAAGTTAGTGGAGCAAGTGTCCTCATATAGCCACCTGGGTGTAACCATCCACCAGACTCTCACATGGACAGAACACGTACAAGTGACAACAAGCAAAAGTAGGAAAGTACTAGGTGTCCTGCGCAAGGTTATGGGCAAACTGGGTAGGCAAGCGCTGGAGACAGCATACTTTGCCCTAGTACGACCTAAGCTGGAGTACGCTGCAGCGCTCCTGGGAGACCTAAACAACACAGCAAGCAAGATGCTGGAACAGGTTCAATACCATGCCTGTTGTCTCGTCACAGGGGCGATGAAGGGTACACCTTACTCAAACCTACTGCAGGAGCTAGAATGGGATACTTTATCCTCTAGACGACAATACAACTCACTCACCATCATGTACAGGATGACGAAAGGCCTCGTACCTCCACACCTACAGTCGCTTACTCCACCAACAAGGGGCTCCCAGTTTACACGTATACAACTACGCAACAATACTCACCTTTGTGTTCCTCGCTGTCGGACTCAGGTTTATAAAACCAGCTTTATTCCACATACATCTTCACTTTGGAACCAGCTACCCCAGACAGTCAGAGACGCCAACAACCTTGCTGCTTTCAAGAGAGCGAGTAAAAAGCACCTGTTGACCACGAGGCATCATCAGATGTACCGTACTCTAGGCTCAAGACCGAACAACATACGCACTACCAGGTTACGCGTGGGCTGGTGCCAACTGAACAGTACACTATACAAGATGAAGATCAAGGGCAAAGCATGTGTCTGCGGTTCTTCTTCTGAAACAGTCCAGCACTACTTATTACATTGCCCCCTATACTCTGACCATCGCAGCAGACTTACTGCAGATGTTGAACGACTTGTCCAACAACGTCCCACCGTTTCCCTCCTACTTCAAGGTTCACCAGACCATGACCCTATTATCAATAAGCAACTTTCAGATGCACTTCACACGTTTATAACATCTACAAAAAGATTTACTTCCGGCTGATCCTCTGCTTTTCCATATTGTACTAAGTTCTAGTTTTTACGGTATTTACATGCCTTAGCACCTT